TTATGAAAACCGTGTTAAAGACTTTGCACCAAAATAGCGGGCATGTTTTTGGAAAATCGGTTAGATATATGATTGTGTATTTGACAAAAGTCGGAAGATCTACAAAAACGCGCAGTTTAATTTCTATTTTACCTACTTAATCCATTCGATGGTTAGTGCGGAATGCACTACTGGGATGATTTTGGGGGCTGTCGTCCGCTTAACGGCTTATGACTCAATCAGTCTTTTGGTGAGGAAGGGGTGGGGTCGGGTAGGAAACTATGTGTGCTAAGATAAACGCGTTGTGCCTTTGTTAATTCTTTATTGACATCTCAGAGCTACACTTCTGTTACCCAAAACCCCTTGTGCTCCTTGTGGTGCTATTGTTTTGGAACAAAAACAATTTCTTTCAACCAAGGATACAGGCTAAGGGTACATTTCAACTGCGATGTAGCAGTGTTACCGAGAAACACTCCGTTACCGTCCCCAGAGCCATGCGGTTTGTATATGTCGTGTGATAAACTACCCTCTCGTTTTGGCCGGGATAGCAGTTATATTTCGGATAGCGTTATTTCTTACTTTTTTAGTGCAAAGAAAGCCACTATGACTGCGCATCTTTAGGATTTAAGTCTAGCTCGTGGAGTGGTGGCTTTTACGGCTAATGGTTAATATTTTGGCTATTCACAACACTCATAATGATATGCAAAGTTGAAATACGTATCAACAATGCAGTTTTGTCGACTAGGTGGACATTCTTCTCACTAGTTACGTAATAGCTCTGGAATAAACACCGAGACGACTTGTTCACCCCATTAATGCTCGGTTCGGCATTTTCTAAAAAAGAAACGGCTTTTTCTTTCCTCTGTTAGCTTCTCGTATTTGTTCACAGCCTCGACCAGACTTTTTTTGTACCTTATCTTTCACCCAGTCACGTAAAATATCGAAAATTCTGAAAATTTTCTGCCATTTTAGAAAACAGAAGAAACATGTTTGTCACAATGACGTCATCTATGCGTCTGTCCTGTAATAGATCATAGGTGAGAACCAATGAAAATGCGAGAATAATTTGACTCATCGTATAATGCCTTATGAAATACCATGGGCCTATTGTGTTACACTGTGATTTACACTGTGTTACGCTGAGTTACAAAAGGGTTAATAATTAACTATTATTGCACAATATATTAGAACCTGCTTAGAGCGGACACCCTGTATTAAGGGGACACTAGTGAGGGTCCCGAGTTTACCCGCTTAATACGGGTTTCACTGTATTTTTTTTATCAACGGATAACCTCTGCCGTTCGAACGGATGAATATTGTTTGAAAACGGATAGGAGAAACCGTTCGAACGGCTGAACGTTTTTCTGAACGGATAACCCCAGCCGTTCGAACGACATCCTATCGATCTTGTACGGATAACAAACGACAAGTGAACGGTTTTTGCCCGTTCGAACGGATACCCGTTAGTGCACGTTTTCGCGTGAGAGGTCACAAATGGTTGAGTTTGTTCAACTACATGTTAAACTATTGTATCCCCATACATTCAATGGGCATAAAATACCCATTCTTTTGTATTTTAAATTCTCTGCCCTATCTGTACCTCGTCCTGTCAATTTACCAGTGTACAACTTCTAATCGATCACACTTAAGTCGCAATTTATATTAACCAACAAACTCAGTTCTAACTAAGTCCTTCTCTTTGTTACAATTTTGGTGTCAACTAGAGCTGTTCATTTACTCCTCTGCATTTCATAAGAAGCATGTCACCTTCTGATTTCATTCAACATTACTTTTTACTGCAACATTATATCTACAAAAATAAAGCAGTAGCCACTTGCAGTCATAGACTGCCTTTTACTTTAGCTTGTTTTCAGTGTTGGAAAGTGTATTTATCTGTCCTGTATCTATCTTATTCTGTATTTTATCGATCCCAGAGGAGATGATAATCTTCGATGTCTTCAAATTCTTTTATCGAAATTTTGTAGCTAGAATAGATAAGGTCAACGTGACGATCATCTTCTTGTAGACCAGAATCAAACAACCAGTGTGAAGAACCAAGATTTCCAGATTTTCAAGGTGCAACTATCAGTCAAAATAAACCAATAAAAGCGTTACATCCACGCTATAAATACAATTTGGGACCTATCGGACTATTTAGAAGGGAGTATTTACGCGAGTAAATACTCCCTTCTAAAATAGTCAGATAGGTCCAAAATTGTATTTATAGCGTGGATGTAACGCTTTTATTGGTTTATTTTAATTGATAGTTGTACCTTGAAAATCTGGACATCCTGGTTCTTCACACTGGTTGTTTAATTCTCGTCTACGAGATGCAAGCACGGTACTGTATTTGCGTCTGGCGTATGCTTAAAAGCGCCAAAAGCGAAAATTTGTCCCAAAACAATCGTGGACAAAAGTCCTTGGGACACTTATGTAATTTAACGAATTGTCTGTGTTTTGCTACTGAAGTTTGTAAAAAAGCGCTGCTTTCCTTTTAAAAACGCATTACTATTCCCCGTCCCCACCAAATACAATGTTGAAAACCAGAAGAAATTGCAGGTAGTAGTTTTCAACATTGTATGGGGGGTGGGGGCGAGGTTAGGCAGGTGAAGTTGTATTTGCGTCTGGCGTGCCCAAAAAAGCGCCGAAAGTGAAAATTTGTCCCAAGACTTTTGTCCATGATTGTTGTTGTAAAGGGGGCCGGGTTGTTCGGAAGCCGGTTAACGCTAACCCAGGATTAAAGTTAGACAGAAGTATAAATAGTTCTTGTATACAAAAGTTTTTCACTGCTTTTGTTTTGTATATTTTGAGATTATTCAAACTCAAAACAGAAGGCCAAACAATATACAGTAAGCCTCACTGCTAAGTTACAAAATTCAAAATCAAAGTTCTCGCTTAACTTAGGTTATCTTAAGTGGCTCCATAGGGAAATCATTTATGGCGTTATGTTTTGAATGCTGTTTTTGCATTCGTTTTTACAACCCAGTCCTCTCAAACTTATTACATGTAATAAGCAATGATTAAATAGTGTTTTACTATCATCTCTCTTAAAATTTTGAGTTTTAGTCTCGAATTTAAGAGGCCCTGCGCCTAAGAAACGACCGATGATTTCCGGCTAAAAAATAAAATCGGCCGATTT